AGGTGATGGGGGGATGAAGACAGCAAACCACCTTGCCATGTATGTACCTATGCAACAATCCTGCGTGATCTGCACATGTACCCCAGAACCTAAAGTACAATTTAAAAAAAAGACCTCTAAAGTCATCATCTGCCAGGCCTCAATTCATTAGTACTTTCAATTAAAGAAACAAGAAGAGAGATTCCACCTCCAGTATGAGATTTATGATAATGGATGAGGGCCAAACATTTAATGGAGCATCAACTTTTTTTGTCACATTAAAAATAAAATTACAAGGTTTATTTATGGAGGGGAAGCAGGATAAATGCCACCACCACACTATTCTCATGAATAGCTACACTCACTTGTGATCTGACTACTAGGCCCAACTTGTGTTGCTGCTGACCTTGAAGTTGTCTGCCCTTCTGTCCAAAGAGTAATCCAGTCTTACTGAGGCTGGAACTCTTAGCTAAGAACAGACATGGATGGAAGAGATAAGGAGAAAACCTGCCCTCCCAGGCGAAAGGAAGTCAAATGATAAAGCAGATACAGGAAAAACACATCACAATGAACTATAATATTTGAAGAGGAGAAGTTGGCGAATCAGGGGTGGTTCTGGACTAGAGGTTCCAGAAAGCAATAAAATTCATGGGTAAAAATGGACTTGTTCTTTATAGCATTAAACGTGAATCCACAACTCACTTTGAGACACTGAGCTTCAGCAAGCTTCCCCCACTCACCCCTTTGCTCACCTTGTCATTTACTTTCTTTGCCAAATTTATGCCAATAATACATGGGCTCAGCAAATTTGAGGCTCAGTCATTTAGCTATTAATTTGAGACAGTGCTAAATAAATAGCCCAGGTCCCCAAAGGAAGGCCTAATATGCAATTGAGGGTATATTTTTGATAACTACATGTCACGTGGTTCTGAGACTTGAATTAAAGTGCAGATCGAACTCACCCCAGAATTACTTTATTTTCCAGTTCATTATCTCTCTATAGACCTGGCTTGCCTGCTCCTTTTCTTGAGTTATTGGCACTATAATCCTTTGTTCTCAGGAAGCAAAATAAATATTTGCATTAAAAGGAGCTGATGAACTAAATCTATCTGTTCCCATGCAGGACGTCCTGGTGAATCAAAAGTTCTGAGGCAAAATGCTGTGCTCAGGACTGGTGGTAGAATAAAAAAAAAAGGTACACTTGGTTTTTATCCATTTAGTGATCCAGACCTCAAGCACTACATCCACATATAGAGATTCTATTTTGTTGAAATGCTTATTGGAAGTCATAACTGGGCATGATTTTTCTGTGTATATAGTGGGTAAAATATAGCATCCCTTTTAAGTGTAAAAAGGATCTGCATATATAAAAACTCACATATCCATTTTATCATTGACAACTTTTATAACAACCCTGTGAGGACAGGGTGATTATTATTATTACTACAGTGGTCCCTAAAAGTGGCAGAGCAAGGCTTTGAGATTTCCAGCACAGCCTCTTTGCACTACTACTGTTTTTCTTTTTAATTGTGTGTTCATTTAACATGACTAGAAATCACAAACACATTTGTTTCATTGAAATTATGGAGATTTGCTCTTTCAAATTTAAAAATATTTCAGTATTACCATGATTAAAATCTTACTATGTCCAAAAAGTTAAAGAAATTAGCTGCCACTGGAAGAGATCCAATTTTAGTACAGACCAGGAAAACTACTGTTTCTTGAGTTATCAGTAAGCAAATACTGTTATCTTAATAGCATATTCAATTATCTAAAGAAGCACAGGGAAATATACTCTAGCAAATCCCTGTTCTACTCAGTTATCAAGTTACAAGTGGAAGTAAAAGACTACAAACTCATGACTAAAACAGGCTTGAGCAAAATAAAGATGTATAATATTTTGGGGTGCGTGTGGAAGAGGTGGCATGTAATTACATTAATGAAACGAAATACACAGATTTGTAATAGTTTCCAAAATGTCCCGCTATCAAAGTATAATGCAGTCTCCCCATTATTGAGAGACCCTTTCAATGTATCCTCAAACATTTCCACCATTACCGTCAGGGTTTATAATTGCTCATGCCATGTACAGTAAATAATATTAAAGTTATACTAGCGGTGGTGAAAATGCCCCTGTAGCCTTTACGAGACAACAGGCTTAAGTACTACATTAAAAATGTTACCATAGATAAGGGAGGCAAGTTGAATAATTAAATAAGAAGTGACATGCCACACTTTCCTACAGCAAAATTTAACGATCTTTTCCCCTTCTTGGGAAAATAATATAGAAGATTACCTTCCAAAATCTATAATTCTTTCAGGAAAATGAAAAGTTTCATCAATACGTTTAAGTGCTAAACAAGCTTATTCCTGTTTCTAATTTACCGAGATGTCATTTCATAAAGACAATACCCAAACATGGTATTTGCTTAGATTTGACACACAAGAAGGGTTGTCTTTTCATAATGGTTAGCACATCATCATCAGACCTATCAGAACTTAAAAGGGCAGATAGCCTGAAAGTGGTCTGTTTTTTCTGAAGTTACTAAAAATGGAACTGATATGATAATGAACTAGAGTATCAGTTCTGAGTGCTTTAGGTTTCAGCTCTCAAGGATGAATTGTGAAAGGAATAGCAAATTGAAACAGAAGGTAGCTTTGAGGGAAAGGTTATTTTGTTCACTATTGTATCCCCAGATTCTAGTCTAGAATACTGAATAAACTTAGAAAGTGCAACCCTGGGTTTGAACCCTTGTTTTGTTCTTTTCTAGCTGCAAGACTTTGGAGCATTTACCAAACACATTTTGAGGGGTTCTTGGACTATAAAAACAGCATGTGTTCCATAAAGCTCTGTATGGTTTTTATATTCAGCCTATATGAAAGAACTTCTGGACTCAATTTGGGGAGTCATCTAAAAGCTGTTATTTATGTGGTATTGTCCCAAACTGAGCATTTTCACAGATGAACAACTGAGGCCAATTTGATATAGTCATATCTGAGGATATAAAAATGAAACAATAAGCTGAAAAGGTATATGCATTTCAAAATCATTTTGTCCTACTTTATTGCAATGATTGCAAACATACATAGTCATAAAACACACAAAGATAGTTGTTACCTTTCTTTGGTCAGATTCTTGGAGAATGTTATTTATGCAGAGATCCTTGTCCCCCAAAATGAGCACACACACACAAACAAACTGATCCATACACATATACATACCAACATAATTGTAGGTTTGTTTTTTAGGCAACAGAATATTCTCTAACTTGTCCCGAGGTCTATGATTCAAGTTAAGAATTAAAAACAACCCCATCAAAAAGTGGACAAAAGATATGAACAGACACTTTGCAAAAGAAGACATTTATGCGGCCAACAAACATAAAACAATGCTCATCATCACTGGTCATTAGAGAAATGCAAATCAAAACCACACTGAGATACCATCTCAGGCCAGTTAGGATGGTGATCATTAAAAAATCTGGAGACAACAGATGCTGGAGAGGATTTGGAGAAATAGGAACACTTTTACACTGTGTGAGTGTAAATTAGTTCAACCACTGTGGAAGACAGTGCAGTGATTCCTCAAGGATCTAGAAATAGAAATGTCATTTGACCCAGCAATCCCATTGCTGGGTATATACCCAAAGGATTATAAATCAACCTATTATAAAGACACATGCATACATATGTTCATTGTGGCACTGCTTACAATAGCAAAGACTTGGGACCAACCCAAATGCCTATCAAAGATAGACTGGATAAAGAAAATGCGGCACATATACACCATGGAATACAATGCAGCCATAAAAAAGGATGAGTTCCTGTCCTTTGTAGGGACATGGATGAATCTGGAAACATCTTTCTCAGCAAACTGACACAAAAACAGAAAACCAAACACCGCCTGTTATCCCTAGTAAGTGGGTATTGAACAATGAGAACACATGGACACAGGGAGGGGAACATCACACACTGGGGTCTGTTGGGAGGTGGGAGGCTAGGGGAGGGATAACATTAGGAGAAATACCTAATGTAGGTGATGGGGGGATGGAGGCGGCAAACCACCGTAGCATGTGTATACATATGTAAAAATCCTGCAAGATCTGCACATGTACCCCAGAACTTAAAAAAAAAGAATTACTGAACTAAAGATAAGTATTTGGATTTACATGGGAATAGCTATGGAATACACACACACATACACACACACACACACACACACTTCAAATATTTGACTATTTAAATAAGTCTTATACAGTATACAATTTCCTACTCAATCTGATATATGAAATTGTCACTGACCAAATTCTGGGAAAAGGGTCGACTCATGCTTTGCATATTGAAGTGACAGATGCTCCTATGGTATTCTGCAAACCAATATTTACTTGAAGCAGTTTCACAACTATGTGTTTACAGCAGGGTTGAATTTGATCTGACAACTTCGCTCAATGAGCATTATAACTAATTTCTAGTGGACCCTGTGTCTTGGAAGGTAGGGTAACCAACCTCAGAATTAACTTATCTCTTCATTTAATAGTATAAGATGGAGCAAAATTATTTCCACAATCACTGGTGACTTTCTCAGCCTGTGTCTACCTGTCCCAGACAATGGCAGAAATGACACATCTTTGTAGTCGTTACCCTGATCTTTGAAATTAGCGATTTTTACCAAGAGTATATTTTATAGTTCAGCTAATAGCTTCATAAAGATTATGTACATAAAGGCATTTTAAAAAATACTAACAATAGACAATACACAGTTCACACTTCCTCTGGAGAAAAACACTTGACAGCAACATTTGCTATAGTATAAATTTACTAGCTTATACATTTTGCTATTCTAATTGAGCTTTGGGGAAAAAAGGAACCAGGAAAAGAGTTATTCTAAGGCCTAAGAAAACTTCACATTTTAGTATCTGACCTAAGTTATGATATGATTTCTTTAAATTGCCCAGAATAATGAAAAAAATAGATTCATATGCAAATATCTTTACTCAGTAAAAACCATAAATTTCAATAACTATAAGCACAAGAGAACCAAGAGGTTTTTTTATGTGTGTCAGCAACCTCACAATTCATCCCTCCTAGCAGTTTTCAGCTGGGCAATTATTTTAGCTTTTGATTGTCTTTATTTATGAATTTAGGGGTAGAGGGCACACAGAAATGGTCAAATTCTCATTCATACTGCAAAGGTATTAGCGTATTTCTTGCCATAGTCCACACTTTCAGTTTGGTTTTCTATGTATAACTAAAAAAGAGATCATTTTTCTTTCCCCTTTTCCTATGATCCCTACTTTCGCATCTATTCCCTGAAACATTAAATCTCTGCAGTTCTGAGATGAGTTGTGGTATCTTTGTTTTGCAGATCCTCTCTCAAGTCTGGCATCATGTTGCCTTCACCTGCCTGATTCCTTCCCTCTGGTGGCAATGTTAAGGCTCATGGTTGTGATACCATTGAATGTGGCTTATGTGGAAACTGCTTCAGCTCGGCTCAGAAAATCTCAGGGAATCGCTGCAGGGCCACAGTGGAAGATGGAGCCTTCTAAACAAAGACGCTGAAGAGAGGGAATTCAGCCTGATTGGGCTGGAGCAGGTCAATCAGAAAGCACACTGTCCCGGAGAAGCCTTCATACAAGCTGTATATACTTTCAAGGACCCGAGAACCAGCCTTAAATTCCTCAGTAAATAAGAATTGAGCAAACCTAAGAGAAGAAGAAGAAAATATGAACAGTTTAACATTCATGTTTCCATATTGTGGACCTTGGGTTGCTTCCTTCTCTTCTATTAAAGTTTTAGCATAATTTTCTTACCAGAATTATATAATTAAGTATTTTAAGAAACACATTTTCTCTGTTAGAAAAAGGAGAAGATCCATTATATAACTGTGTATGTTTCACAACAAATTATGCTGGCAAGCAAATCCAACTATTCTCAGAGTTTGCAAAGCAAAGGATTTCATTCTATCTGTCATCCAGTAATTAAAGTTAAAAAAAAAAAAGCCAGAGAAATTGTTCTACTTTTATTTATCTTGAAAAGAAGCAAACTGATATATGACTATTTCTTTAAAAAAGTAAATATGCTGTGTTTCTGCAGGCATATTACTTCTGAGCTAGGTTTTTCATTTACATGTGACAAAAACAGAGACTTTGAAAATAAATGGGCAAGATTTTATACAATCTGTGCTGTGAGCAAACAAGGGAATAAGATGAATAGGAAAAGGCAGCAACCTTTTACAATGATATCATCAAATAGCAAATGCAGCTACGTGACAGATTATTTTTGAGATATCCGCCTTAAATTGAATCACAGGCCTCTAAATTCCTTATGAAAGACCTTTTTCCTTTTACCCATATTTACCACAAATGCTAGCTCTTCTTCTGACCTTTTCCCCCATGCACTCATTTATTTATTGCATTATTACATGTTATTAAAGTATATGTGATTTGGTATACTGTATTTTTTTCACTTAAAAACATGCTAAATATTTTCTATGCTTTTCAAAATAATTTATAAATGATACATAGCAACTTAAAATACTATTCAGATTATTTATAATAAGCAATATTTTTATGGTGGTTTACAGCTTTCAAAGTGTTGTTACCTACATCATCTTTTTTACTGACTTGCTCTACTCATTCTCATCAATAACACAAATAATCACCAATTCAGAGGCTGGAGTTCATAGCTTGGTAAGGCCCAAGCACTGATACTGTCATAAATTTAGGTTACTGCTACTATATAGGGGGTCTTACAAAGGGTAATTATTTGATTTTTTTAGGGCTCAATAAATCAGCAAGAAACAGACTGCAACTCTATTTAGTACAATTTTTCTATAACTGTTTTCCTGAATATGCCACAATTTTAAAATGAAATTTAAAATTTAAACAGTAGAATAATAATGCATCATAAGAGTTACTTCAGAATTTGTAATAATATAGCCAGCATCTCATGATATAGCATCAGTCTGGCTCCTCAGGAAAAAAAAAGTTTTCAAGTGTATAAAATAAACCACACAGGATTCCAAAGGAAACTAATTATATTAAAACAACAAAAATTTTAAAGCCACATTTGTGATGTAATAACATATGTATTATTTGCTAACACATTAAATGCCAAGATACAGTAATGGGTTTAATAATTGCTAACATTTCTAGCTAGTGATATGAATATAACATATTTTATAATATCTGTAACAAGAGTAATACCACATGAGAATATCTATTAATCATATTGTTTGCAAAGTCACACCTACTAATACTTCTGTGACTTATTACCTACATTCAGAATGGAAGGAAATGCTACATTTAAGTTTGTGACACAATCACTTTCTCAAGCAAACTCACAAATCCTAGATTAAGCATCCCTGGTAAAGAAGAAAGAGCAAGGGCTTTGGAGCTGAGATACACTAATTTGATAATTTCATGTTGTATGACCTTTGGCTAATTTCTCAATTTGACTTTAAAATGGTGAAGTTGCAGAACTGGATAGTGTTATATGTAAAGATAAAGGATATCATATATTAGACTCTGAGCATATAGCAATCATTCAGTAAATGGAAAACATTACTTTTTACATAAGCATGTTATAAAAGAGTTGTAAAACATAATCATGAAAGATGATTTATAAAACCATGCTATAGAAGAAACACACAATGTGGCTAGCTCTTCTTCTGACCTTTTCTCCCATGCACTCATTTATTTATTGCATTATTACAAGTTATTAAAGTATATATGATTTGGTATACTGTACTTTTTTCACTTAAAAATATGCTAAATATTTTCTATGCTTTTCAAAATAATTTCTAAATGATACATAGCAACTTAAAATAGTACCAGCAATGTCTGAGAGTAGCAGTTTCATTGTATTCTGACCTGTATTGTGCTATTATTTGTAAAAAATATTTCAAAAATCTATCCAGTGGTGCAATATTAAACAAATTATTTTTTCTAAAATGTTCTCAGTCAAAATAGAAGTCCGTATGCTAATTACAGAACTAAAAAGAATGGAAGACACAATAAAATATGAAAACATTTCTTATCAAAACCTATTGATTATGACCAAAATGAATGCAGAAGAAAATTTATAGATTTGTGAGTTACTATTATTATTAATAAAACGATGGAATGCTTTCTAATTATGCATTTTAAAACTCTAGAACATAACAAAATAAAGGGAAGTAACAGTGGAAAACAAACAAAAGACAAAAACAAAAAAATTAATAAGCAAAACCAGGAGCTAGTTCCTTGAAATGATTAACAAGATAGAAAAAAAACACTGGTGCATCTGACCAAGAAGGAAAAGCATTAGAAATCACAAAGGGCACATAGCCACAGGGATAGGAAATTAAAAATATTATGGAACTATATTACTGGAGCTCTATGTCAAAAATTTGAAAATTCATATGAACTAGATGGTTTTATAGAAATACATTCACTACCACAAAGAAGAGTTAGAAAACCTAAGTAACTGAATAAGCATACAAGAAAATTAAGAAGTTGTCAAATATTTTTCTGCAGCCATAAAATCCAACTGTATGTTAAATAATAGATGACAACCAAGTAATATTCATTTTAGGGAGGAACATATTTTTTAACATGCAATTGTTAAAGTATGCCCCTAGCTGACAGACAAAATGGGCTCCTCATAGCAAAATGAGGTGCTCCAAGTTAAAACAGAACCAGGTAGCTATGGCTGGGTGAGGGAGTGATTATGTATTCTGTGTTCTGAGAAAGATGTTGTAAAAGCATCACAGGACCTTTCTTTCTCCAAACCAGTTCCTGTTGTGAGAGCCAAGATACACCAGCTCTCCACCCGCCATTTGGAAGAAACAGGTGACAGAGACTTCCAGTTTTGAGCCTGGAAACTAATCAATCATATCACACCTAAGCCAAACAGAGTCACCTGCCCTGGCCAATCAGGGCTCAGCTGCACTGACCAATAGGAACTGAGTTTCAATCCTCCATTTGCATAAAAGGACCTGACCTGGGCAGCCCTCTCTCATTCTCTGAAAGCCTGCTTCACTCTACACCAAAGGCTGTGTATCCTCTGTTTGCAAACTGTTCACTGGAATAGTCTCTTTCCTACACATTTGGTTGCAGAGTTGTTCACACAATACCCAAACAATACAGATATTACCTGCACATTTCCAGTATTCTACCTGTTAGTAAAAAATGTAAGTTGTCTCTTTAGAGCCCTGAACCCCAAATCTTATAACCAAGACTCTGTAAGCTAGGACTGGCCTGCCAGAAAATAATGTGTACAAAGTTCGTTATTTGAGTGATGGATACCCTAAAGCCCCAGTTTCACCACTATGCAATCTATCCAAATAACAAAATTACACTTGAATCCCATACATTTACACAAAGTTTTTAAAAGTAAAAATATTTACAATTACAGAAAATAGAGGTGTTCTGATCTCTTTTAATAGACTTTATAGCAAATGAATGAATTTCATTCATTTCTGATGAAATTTATCCCAAAGGTGAAATCCCACTAGCCTAGATGATATCCAGAATTACTTTCTTTTTCTGTATTTGGGAAACAAAAGATCTGGCTTGAAGGAAACCATGAATCAAATATATAAACAGATTTCCTAAACAATAGAGCTTCAAATTGAAGACTTACATAAGTTAGTATTTGCCATTCAGTGCATTCATGTAAATATCATGAAAAATAGTTTATGTTTTTTAAACATTAAATATTAGATAAATTGGTTTGGGAAGGCCTTTATGAGAAAATGACTTTTGAGTGAAAGTCTGAATGAAATAGGGGAGTTAGGAGATATATGTAGAAAGTGAGCATTACAGGTGGAGGGAACCAAAACTTCCAAGGCCTTGAGATGGAGTCTACCTGGTATCCTAATGGAATTACAAGGAAACCACAGTGTTGGAAAGAACCAGGTGGAAGAAGAGTAGGGAATGAGATTAGAGAGGTAATGGGAAACTAGATCATGTAGGACCTTTCATTCATAGGAAAGACTGGCATTACTCTGAATCATATAGGAAGCTATTGGATTACACTGAACAGAGAAGTGTTATAATCTAACAGGATAAACATTATAAGAAGTGAATATAAAAACCATTGTAAAACATAGAAGCATTCCTAGTAAAATCAGCATAAAAAGCAAGGGTGTTTTCTACCACTCTTACTATTGAACATTTTTATAGGGTTGCATTGTTATAGAGAACCATGTAGTGGAAAAAAAACACCATGCACATGAGAAAGGAAGTAACAGAATCATAGTTATTTGCAGATGTGTGTGTATCTATTTAGAAAACCCGATAGAATCTAATAAAAAACTAATAGAAACAGTAATGGAGTTAATTAAGGCAGCTAGATATGTTATTATAATATTTATAAAAAGTGAAATACTTATAAAATCTATATTTATATAAAAAATTACATATTAGAATGAAAAGATTCAGTGATGTGTATGTTTTAAGAACTTTCATATATACCAGTAATGAATGGTGTGAAAATATAATGAAGGAAAAGATTCCACTCACAATAAACCTGGAAACATAAAATACCCAGGAATAACATTAACAAGAAACATACAAGATCTTTTTCATAAGATCAAAACTTTACCAAATTACATTTGTTTAAACTTAAATAAATGGAAAGGTATACCATGTTCCTAGATGGAAAAACTCAATATTCTAAAGATGCTGATTCTCATTAAGTAATCTGTAAATTCAATGAAGTTCCAATCAAATTTCTGTAAGACTTTTTTAAGTATGACAAATTGACTCTAAAATACAATTAAAAGAATAAATGAGAGAATAATAGGTTGAATAGGGGAAAGTATGGAACTCATATATTTATATAAATTCAGTTTATGAAAAAATTGATTTCAAATTATGGGGATAACTGGTCAACAGATGCTATTAGAATTTTTTTAATAAACAAGAAAAGATATACATCTGAGACTATTTTAAAAGTTCTAGCAGAATCAAAAATTTTAATGTTAAAATAAAATCATAAAATTATTATAAGCCCATATACGTAATTTATTATAAGTAATTTACATATTACTTGTTTTCTAAACCTGAATTGGGAAGGGTCGTTTAAAGCATAACACAAAATCTAGAAGTTTTAAAGAAAAGATTAAAAACTTTGACAAGAAAAATACTTAAAAGTTTGGTATGACAAAAGGCTAGGACAAAATTTAAAGAGAAATGGCAAAGCAGGAAAATATTTACAACATATATTGACAAAGAGTTACAATCCTTAATAGAAGCAACACAACAGGAAAAAAAATGGGCAAAGGATAAAGACAGGCTAGTTATGGACCTAGAAATACCTATGGACCTAATGATTTCAATTCTAAAATTTCTCTGACAAGTGCTTTCGCAAGTGCACAGAAATATATGTATTGGATATTTGGGGAAATTTTGTTTGTATTAGTAAAGATTACACACATACCAAGTGTCCATTATTTAGGGATTGGTTAATTATGGTACATACATAGTGAGTAACTATATAGCCACTTAAAAATGAGATACATTTATACAAAATGAAATAAAGAATGGCCTTTAAAAATTGTTCATTTAAAATTATAAGGTGCAAACATAGTGGGGAGGTGGTGGGCTCACACCTGTAATCTCAGTATTTTGGGAGGCTGAGGCAGAATTGCTTGAGGCCAGGTGTTCAAGGCCAGCCTGGGCAACATAGCAAAATCCTGTCTCTACAAAATAATAATAATAATAATAATAATTGTTGTTTTAGTCCATTCTGGCACTGCTATAAAGAAATACCAGAGACTGGGTAATTTACAAAGAAAAGAGGTTTAATTGTCTCATAGTTCTGCAGGCTGTACAGGAATCATAGCAGCTTCTGGGAAAGATTGAGTTCCACTAGTCAGGAGCAAGAGAGCAGGAGGAAGTGCTATGCACTTTTAAATAACCAGATCTCTTGAGAATTCTATCACTATAGAGTACCAAGAGGGGATGTTGCCAAACCATTCGTGAGAACTCTGTCCCCAGGATCCAATCACCTCCTACCTGGCCCCATCTTCAACACTGGGATTATAATTAGACATGATATTTGGTAGGGACACAGATCCAGATGGTATCAGCCATGTATGGTGGCATGAACCTGTAGCCCTAGCTACTCAGGAGGCTAAGGTGTGCCCACAAGTTCCAAGCTACAGTGAGCCATGAATCACACCACTGTACTCCAGCCTAGGTGATAGAGTGAGAACCTGTATCAAATACATAAATAAGCAAGCAAGCAAGCAAGCTATAAATAGTACGTATAGAACTATTACACATCTATAGTAGTAGGAGCTCATTAAAATATACATGTACACATATACATCTATGTGAACAAACATTTATGCATAAAGAAAAGTCTGGAATTATAGTAATAATAATGAACATTTACACCGCAGTTACTATATGCCAAGCATTATTCTAAACAATTTTTCATATATTAACTAGTTAAAACTACCAAACATCCCTATGATGTAGGTACTATTTTCTGTATTTTATGAATGAAGATATTGAGAATCACTTGTTAAAATGAGCTAAGTGACTTGCTAAAAGTTGTGTGACCTTGTTAAAGGTCACTTGTCACTTAGCTCATTGTAATAAGTGATTTGTTAAATGTCACACAGTCAATTTGATAATCATCAGTTATGCACTTTCAGTGGGAATCTTCATAACAGTACAGGCACTACTCTAGCACCCCCTCCCGCCTCCACCAAGTGACAGCTCAGATTGATGGGAACCAGACTACATGGGTGGGTATGAAAGACCACTCTGGCTTAGAAGACCTAGGTGCCACACAAATGTCTGTTGTAAGCATTTATGGTTCTAGACACCTAAGTCCCTTCAAAGTGAATGCTACTTTCATGCCACTCTGCATTCAGGGAAGCCCCTACCTGTGCTTTCTATCAGGTTATTTATAGTTCTTTTATGGCCCCTGGCCCAGTTTACCCAGATCACCAGTCAGAGGTAATATCTATTATACGCAATGTTGTCTGTTATATAGCAGATGTTTCACCTTTATTAGGTTTACAGGAAATAAACTATAGAGGAAAATTTTATATTGTCTGTCAAAATTACAAATATATATATTTATATATATTTATTTATATAACATATATAGGAGATATGTATATATAATATATGTATACACACACACACACACACACACACACATACACACACAGGAGATATATATTTCCTTTGGCCCAACAATTCCATTTCCAGAAATTTATCTTTTAGATATACCTATACATATGTAAAATGATATATGCACAAGATTATTCATCACAGCAATATTTGTAGTACACAGTATTGGAAATAACCTAAATATCTTCCTATATGGGACTGGTTAAATAAATTATGGTGCACTCATACGATATAATGCTATGCAATAATAAAAATGTTTAAATAAGCTCTTTCTGTACTGATATAGGGCGATCACTAAGATAGCAAGATGCTATCATTTGGATAAAAAAGAGAGACAAATAAACACATACACACACATATGTGGACAAATACACACACACACATATGTATGTATGTATTATAGTTTAGATATTTTACCCTTCAAATCTCATGTTGAAATTTGATCCTCAGTATTGCAGATGGGACCTAGTGGGAAATGGTTGGGTCACAGAGGCAGATAACTCATGAACAGATTGATGCCATCCTCCTGGTAATGAATGAGTTCTCACTCCATTTGTTCCCACGAGATGATTATTTAAAAGAGCCTGGCACTTTCCTTCTCTCTCCCTTCTTCTCTCCCCTTGTGATGTCTGCTTTTTCCTTCTTCTTCTGTCATGAGTAGAAGCTTCCTGAAGCTCTTACCAGAAGAAAATGTTAGTGATGCTTCTTGTACAGCCTGCAGAACCATGAGCCAAAGGAAACTTTTTCTTGATAAAGCACCCACCCTCAAGTATTCCTTTATAGCAACTCAAATGGATTAAGACATTTACCTATACATTAAGTACACAGAATATCTTTGGGAAGATAACCAAGAAACTATCTCCAGAGAAGTCAACTGCATGGCTGCAGGGCACAGTTGATGTATTTATTTTTACACTTTTCAAACCATGTTTGAATTGACTATATTACTAATTCAGAAAATTAATTAGATTTAAATTTTGAAAAAAAAAGACCTATAAAGAACAGCTGACCTTTGAGCTCTGTAGATATATTTAGAGTTTCCTGTGAGCCGGTACAGCAGCAGGAAGACATAGGCACTGCCAGCTACTCCGTGGCAAATCCCAGGCCCCTTCTTTAGCAGGCCTTTCTGCCACGTGAGCTCCCCACACCGAATACATGTATCCAGGTACTGCGGTTTCTTGGAAACCAGATAAGCTTTGGCAAACAGATAGGCAATTCCTGTGAAAACATCAAAAACATTAGAGGTGACTTTCAGGACTTAATATTCTGGAGCAGAACTTCTAGAACTATAAAAAGCTCATGAATAACCTGAGTACTGTTAAAACACAGATTCTAATATGATAGTTCTGATGTGGGGCTTGAGATATACATTTCTAAGAAGCATCCTTCTAAAGACCACACTTTGAGTAGGAAGGTGCTAGAATGTTCTATAAGAGTCTTATTTTTCCGGTGAGATTTTAATTTGTTTTAATTTTATTGTGGGGTTGGCCCTGGGAGAAAAAGCAACATTTTAAATTGACATATATAGATAAAATCTAAAATTTAATTTACAAATGGGTTAATATTTAATGATATATACTCTAGTAAGCATTATGTATATTTGGTTATTTGAAACGGCTAAATATTTATCCTGTAATGAATTTGTAGTTTTACATTTGTAATGTTTAAGTACGTATAACGACACACATTTTCTTAAGAGCAAAACTGGGCATCTTTCCAAGAAAAACAATGCTCCAGAAGAACCTTGCCAAGACTTCTACTTCAGCTGTGAAGTGAGTCCTTCCCACCCTGATTGTTCCAAGGAAAGCATTGTTCCTTCAAAGCTCTTTAACCAAAGTAATATCAATTACAAAGGCAGAAATGGAAACAAGAGAAACAACAGCTATTAATAGAAATGATTTTGCCCAAGTTCTGGGTGTTCATATTCAGTGAGGAGGTTATCACAAGATCACATTCTTTCCTGCATAACCTACTTTTCTCCTATATAAAAAGTGTGAAAGACTGAAATATAGTCAATCAGGGTTATCATTGCCTTTCATTGCTTTGACGAGGCTATTTTACAACTCTGTAGAGATAGAAACTGTCTTTTAGAAAACTGACAGTACTGTAAATATTTTTTGTCCCTAGAAATTCACATTCTGTCTAGTAGAGGTTGACTTCCCTCTGCCTCTGTGGAAGAAGCCAGTTTTGCATTTATTAAGCAAATTTATTTCAGCATTCCTAATGGCCTATATAAATATGTCTACTCTTTGGATTTTCCTTTGAAACAGTTGTAACATCTTTCTGGTTCCCTCATTAAATAATGAGCTCAGTAAAATGGTTCACATGTATTCTTTTTATATTTGTACGAGAGTCATGATTTCATCCTCTTTTTAAGTGTATCCTTTAATATACCCTTTGATTAATATTTACATAGCAACAAGCTCTTTGCTCAGTCAATGCTTTCCAGTCAACTACTGACAATGATTACCTACAGCATTATCCTACTTCAGTTTTAGGAACAAAGTATCTTGCACAAACTAAACAATTATATTAAAAGAACTGAATTTATTTAATCATGCATTCATTCATTGCATCCATTCATTTGAAAGTAGTCATTGATTATGGACTGTATGCACAGCCCTAGGCAAGGCTAGTTTCATGGGCATGCCACCTGTGCACTCTACAGCCCATACTCCTTAAAAGGGTCCCATGCTGAGTTTAATGCTCTGCTATTACCACCTTGAAATTCTCAATAATTTTTCTAAAAAGAACTTGCATTTTCATTTTTCTATGGGCCTTCCAAATTATATACTCAGTCCCAGCAATGGGTGATATTAAATAAATACTAAACATGACTACCACCCTTCAAGAAGGCATTCTCTATAAAGGGAGATAAAAATATATACTTATGACTAATACATAATAGGATACGTAGTTCATGATGCTGCTGGAACATAAAATAAATGGTTCTCTCAATAATACTATTGGAATCAGAAAGGTGGAAGTTCCCTACGGAGATAGTTGATGAGGCCCTAAATGGAAGGAGCACTTTTTCAGAACTTTGAAGGATACATAGTAAACTCCAGGCTCAAGATGAAGCAGGGAGGGCATTCTATCTAGCACCAAGATTAGCAAGGGCAAAGATATGGAGCCAGAAAGGACAAGCCACATGAAGGCTAGTGGGGCAATGTTCTAACCAACAGACTAGTGAGGAAGAAGGCTAGACTGGGTTCTGATTATGGATGGTTTTACAAATCTAGTTAGATAGCTTGGACTGTACTCTATGATTATCAGGGAACCAATGAAAGTGTTTTTGTTGTGGACTGGTTGGCTTTTATTTTTGTATGACAATGTGATTGTTATGGACAAAATGTCCCAATTTTAGTGGTGTCAGGATAGACCTAAAGAAGGGTAACAGGGTAGTTGTGAGCCGATTATGTGGGTAGAAAGACAGAAGTGATCTACATGTTCATCATAGCACTATTCACAATAGCAAACACATGGAGACAACCTAGATGCCCATCAATGGTGGACTGGATAGAGAAAATGTGGTACATATATACCATGGAATACTATGCAGCAATAAAAAAGGGATCATGTCCTTTGCAGGAACATGGATAGAGCTGGAGGCCATTATCCTTAGCAAACGAATGCAGGAATAGAAAACCAAATACTGTATGTTCTCACTGGTAAGTAGGAGCTAAATGATGAGAACACATGGACATAAATATGGGAACAATAGACACCAGGGTCTCCTTGAGCCGGGAGGGTAGGAAGAGGGTAAGGGTTGAAAAACTATCTATTTGGTACTGTGCTCACTATCTGCATGACAAAATCCTCTGTACACCAAACCCCAGTGACATGCAATTTACCCATGTAACAAACCAGCACATGTGCCCAATGAATCATAATAAAAGTTGAGAAAACAAAACAAAAAAAATAATAAAATGGTTAATTGTATATTATGTAAATTTCACCTTAATTTTAAAAAAGGGAAAAGCTTCTCTTAAAAAATAGAAAGCCAATGAAAAAGACATTTTGCAGAACTTGGTAAATATTTCAATATTAATTGGGCATCTACTATATGCCAGGCATAGTAGTAGGTGCTAAGCATTTAGAAAGTCTCTATCTTCATGGTGTTTTTCAGCTTAACTGGAAGTATTAGACTATGTGAGGGGCAATAGAAGTCTCATGGAAGCACACAGGTCTCCCAGCCCACACTCGGCAGAAGGAAATGACTACTAGAGGAGTGAAACCATCTAATCTGATTATTGGAGGTTGGTAGGGAATTAGCCAGGTGTATTGGATGCTGTTGATGACCTGCATGGATCAGCTTTACCTTACTGACCAAATGCCTCATTTCCCAGTTCCTGTGAGAGCTGGTAACTAACAAAGCTCACTGCTACATCTTCTTGAGAGATTTTCCCTCAGACAAATGAGAGGCTATGCTATGCAGCCACCCCTCACAGGGATGACACAGGGATAACACAGGGATACAAAATATCAGCTTCCTTGCCTCAAGAGAGACCCAGCTTCTTGATATAATCTGTGTTTCTTAGCTTCTCCTCAGACTTAGGGTGAAGCTAGCCTCCAGGTAAGACATGGTCCTCTTTGGCCTATTCTGCTTCCCTGCTCCCTTACAGGTTTCTCTTGATAGCAAGCTCTACTTCTAGACCCTGAGCAAAGAGCTTGTTGAAGAGTGAGGGCATTACAGCCATTCAAAGAATGGGCGGGTGGGGAGGCCCTGCTCTTGCTGGCCTTCCTCAGGCTCTAAATGTCCTTCCTAGATGATTGCTTTACCTTCCTGCCCCCAGGTCTGCCATGCCTTAAACTCATTCAGTGGCAGTGAGTGGCCTTTCTGGGACTGTAATGTGACCATGACATTCCCCTACCCAAACTACCAAAATGACTCCCTATTACCCAGATGCTTTAGCATGACGCAGAAGGCCCTTTGTGACTGAGCTCCTTTTCTATTTTCCCACCTCTTCTCCTCCATTCCGTTCTTGAATCTTTTCACTTCAGTAGGACCAAACCACCTGCAGTGCTTTCATGCTTCTAACTACCAATGTGGTTCACTTTTCTTGGAATAAGCTTTGTACCTTTCTTGGTCTGGCTAACTTACTTCAAGCATCACAACCTTCAGGAAGCCTTGCCTGGGCCTGGAGGCAGCATGAGTAACCCCTCTGAGCTTTCATTTCTCCCTATACGAACTTTAGCACTTACACAGAACCCAATTAAAATTACCTATTTCCATTGCTGGCTCCCCTAATACCATGCAAACTACTCAAGAGCAGAAACTGTATCTTGTTCACTTTTGTTCCACTAGTGTGTGGCATGGTGTCTGGCAAATGCCAAGAGCCTCATAAATGTCTGTTGACCATAAAGTGCCCCATTTCTCACCCCAGCACAGGCTGATGCTGGGGTATAGATGAGAGATGTAGAAGGAAGAAGGGTGAGATGGTCTAATTGCTATACCAGGCCGAGTCCCAGACAGATTAAAAGGTATTGATCCTGTGGTTCCGGCCAGGGTGAAAGAGCCTCTTCCTGCATCCTGGATCACAGAAAGGTACATGGAAGTGACCTTGCAAAACTTCTAAACCCATTGGCTCCTTACCCAACATAATGGAAGTCACAATAAGGTGGCTTAATTAAAAAAAAAGAAAAGGAATGGTAGGTTTCTTTCCTTTTTATAGGAATCAGGAACCATATCATTTCATCATAGGAACACTAATTATTGTGCATTGATAAGAAGCCTGAGTCAGCAATGATGTCTTTGCTAAATGCAACTGGGAAAGGAATTCATTGTTACTTAATAAATATGGTTTGAGAGACTAAACTTCAGAAAATATAAGACCTAGCAGGGCCTTCTGACAGCCAGACTTGGCACGTGTAGCTTCAACATACTGGAGAATCACCACTCAGGTCCATTCCGAGTTGTGTAATTTTGCTGAGGCATGCATTTTATGGTGTGCACTACAGAGCTTAATGACCAATGATATCTGTCCTGCAAAAGCCTTGTTGTTCTTTATTCAAAGTCACCTACCTAACAGCCTTTACAAAATGAGTTTTTTTTTTTAAATGCCCACATCTATACTTCATGCAGAGTAAAAGAAATGCACTGTCAGTGTTACCACAGCAATGATGTAACCTAATGCAGTTGAGAGTTTATTTTAACCACAGCATTTGTTTTAATGATTTTGTAAATGACTTTGGTCCTGTATTTCAGAATCATCAAGGTTATGAAGGGGTCATATTAATTTTCCTGTAATACTTTATTGCACTTATTAAGAAAAACCTACGTGCCAGTGCCACACAAGGTATTTATAAATGTCTTGTTCACAAAGCTTTTGAGACACAGCCCTCAGGAATGGCAAGGGTCCAAAGTATAAAAGGGGGTCTACGGTGATAAAATGATTGAGTTCCACTAGTGAGTCTCAATGTGCTCATTTTACAGATAAAGAGACAAAGGCACAAAAGAAAGTAACCCTTTCTTAAGGTCAGCAAACTGGTTAGTGTTGGAGCTGAAATTAGAAGCTGGAGTTATTAACTTAAAGTCAAGAACTATTTCTACACTGTATAAATGATAACTAGGCTTGTTACCTGTAGAGGTGGGTTGAAGGAACATCAATAGGAAACAATTATAGAAGCAGATAAGGTATCATTAATGAAGCTCCACGTTGTGGATTATTTCTAGCAGGTTTTTAATCACACAATTTGTCTGCTGCTTCAACCATCTGTACTGTTCATAAATCTACTCTCAAAAATGTTTTCTTTAAATAAATGAAAATTATTTTATAGTTCGTTTCCTGTAGAGAATTTTTAGAGAGTTTGCTGTTGCCAACTTCTGCAAAATCTTGGTGGTCCTTAGACTGCGTTTATTAGACTTATAAACAATCTTGATGCTGTTTTTAGAGCATCTATTCAAAGAAAGACCAATACCGTTGAGATGGGGGTAGGGGTGGGTAGAAATAATGGGCCCCACTTAGTTTTTTATTCAGTTGTGAATTGGTTTATTTTTGGTAGTTCAGTGAATACGTGGATTGAATGATTTTTCTTTAAATCCCATGTTTAATATTCTCTAGATACTGAACATGAATGATAAAGGAGGATGTAGTCTCCAAAGTGATGAATTCTATGCTGCACTGTTATGGTAAATGATTTATAGAGACAGGTGGCATTTAGTGTACAGAAAGGATGGAATAATTTCCCTGCAAGACAATTAACTGACCCAGTCACTAATTTTAGTAGATTATCATCCCACTTTTTTCAGGACTTTTACTAGCACATTGAATGCTTTTAAAATACTCTGTGTTTAAATTAGGGTATCTCCAAAATTCAAGGATCCTGGCTGGGATGCTTGGAGAATATACAGAGATCATCACTGAGAATAATTAAAATAAATGAAAAACGGAAGAATTGAGCATAACAAGAAGGAGTATCATTTCCAGCATGGTAAACAACTTTTTTTTTTTTCCCCAAAAAAGGCCAAATTAAAAAGAAATGGACTCAAATTATAACTGGCAGGAGTTAGCCTGGACATAATGCACAATGCATGGATACTGGTACAAGCATATATTTTGAACTTTCTTTCATAGGTAAATGTAGCAGGCAGAAAAAATATGACCAGTGGACTGCAACTTACATTATTCATCAACTCAAGACTATACTTTCTGGGATCATTATTCATCAACTCAAACTGTACCCCCCAAAATGAAATTATAGTTGGATTAAAGAACATTAATTCATGGGGGGAAGAGGTAGTAAAACTCAGGTAAAAAAGTAAAAAAAAAATCAAACATATTTTAAAAGTGTGCTTGTGGAATTGAAGCTTCTTGAAAATTAAATTGACTCGGAACCTAAGAATTTTGTACTATTTTGGTATTTTAAATCTCTCCCCTAGCTATCTAACCCATATTAATTATTTGAATTTAACTTTTTTTTTTCAAATTACCCCTTCTCTGAAAGCTTAATTAGCAATGTGATGAAATTTTTAAAAGGGGGAAAAGAAGGGGTTTGCTAAATTTCCAGGCTCAGTTCCACAGAGATTACTGGGGATGGCTTTTCATGTTTCTAGACATTTTCTTTGGTACTGATGGAAATTTTCATTGGAAGAAGAGTTGTAGAACAGTACATCTCAACCTTTAAAGTGCATACAATTTACCTAAGGATACTGTTAAAATGTAGATTTTGACTCAGTGGATCTAGGATGGGGCCTGAGATTCTGGATTTCTATCAAGCTCTCAGTTGCCCATGCTACTGGTTCCAGTGGCCACATTTTGAATTGCCAGGCTCCAGATCAGCACTATCCAATGTAGGTACTTAGCACTTGAAACGTGGCTAGTATAATTGACATTTGACATAAGAATACAGTATATGCTGGATTTCAAGGACTGAATATTTTTAAAATGTGAAATATCTCAATTTTTAAATTGGATACACATGGAAATGATATTTGGGGTATATTGAGATCTATAATATATATTACTAAAATTAATTCACCTGATTTCACTTTTTTAATGAGGTTACTAACAAGTTAAATTACATATGTGGCCCATATTATGCTTCTATTAGACAATTCTAGTTTAACTTTATAAACCAATAGATGTAGCTCATATATATTAAAATATAGAGGACCATTTTCAGAAGTTGTTTACTGATCAGGATTTTTTTGGCTTTGAAAAATTTCATCTTGACCTTGTTATCTCACACAGTAATGACATAAGATGAGATATCCTCACTTCTCAGAAAAGGTACCTCCCTGTGGCTAACCTAGATGAAAGTCAATGTTTTTAGAAAACAGAGTGTGTAAGACCTGGAGCGCCATGGCACCAGTGCACCAGCTCATTCTCTCTCTCGATGGTCTCGCCAAGCTCAGGTGGCCAGTTGCAGTTTTGTTCCTGTTCCATGAGAAAGTCCACGCTTTGCCATACCAGCTCCCGATCTGAGGGCTTCAGATGCTCATGGTAAGAAAGAAGCATCTGAAGAATAGACGACAAGCCATGAGCTGCCCCTGTATTAACAAACAAGGCATAAAATTCACACAACTGGGAGGACAACCAGTTTGATTTAGTGCAAAGATAAACAACAGGATAAAAAACAATAATAATGCCAATATTACTTGAAAGCTCATATAGTAATGTGATAACTAAGATGCCTAAGAACTAGGCTTCTAGCAAACTATAGCCTGCAGGCCAAATATGGCTCACTGCCAGTTTTTCTAAATAAAGTTTTATTAAAGAATAGCCATGCTCATTCATTTGCATATTTTCTATAGCTGCTTTCTGGCTACAACAGCAGTGTTGTATTTGTGTCAGAGACTATATGGCCCAGAAAGCCAAAAATATTTACTATCTCTAGCCCTTTACAGAAGAAGTTTGCTGACCAATCTTTGTTTCAGTAAAGAGATCTTTTAAAACTTTGTAATTGAAATATCAATAGCTTTCACAAAAAAATTCTTAAAATGCTTGAAAATAATTTGGTCTAGGTATCCTAAACATTTATTTTTTATTCATTCATTCAACACACAAATATTAAGCATCTACTCTGTACCAGATACTGTTCTAGGTGCTGAGTATAGATCACTGCACAAAACAGACTAAATCCCTCTTTTATAATGTTAAAGACTAGTTATTGATATTCATTTACTTAATTCTTTACATTCAGCACTTGCATATTAGGCACTGACTAACCCTGGTTATACAGATAAACATGATTTGGTTGATACCTTTGAAGGCCTCTCCATTCAGTCCAATGAGACAGCCAGATTTGTAAAGAAATAATTAGAATATGAGGTGATAAGTGTTCTACGAGAAATGTATACCAGAAGTACGATGGTTAATTCTGTGTGCCAACTTGACTTGGCCAAGGAGTGTCCAGATGTTTGGTTAAATGTCACTTCTGAGTGTTTCTGTGAGGGTGTTTCTGGATATAACTAACATTTGAATCTGTTCACTTAGCGAAGCACATTGCCCTCTCCAATGTGGGTGGACCTCACCCAATTCACTGAAGGGCTGAATAGAACAAAGTGTGAGTAAGAATTAGTTTTTTCTGCCTGACTGTCTTTGAACTGGGACATTGGCCTTCTCCTGCCTTCAGATTTGGACTCAGACTGAAACTTACATTATTGGCTTCCCTGGATCTGGCTTTCTCAGCCTCCATAATCATGTGAGCCAATTCCTTATAATAAATAATTTATTTATATAATAAATCATATTCTGTTTGTCTAGAGAACCACAACTACTACAAGGACTAATAGAAAGGATGGAGGAGCGCTTAACTTGGCCTCAAGGGTGGAGGGGATGCTGAAGATTCCATACAGATAGTGTCATCTGAGCAAAGTTTTGAGAATTCCTAAGAGAATTCTGAACTAGCAAAGGGTATTGAACTAGCAAAGGCCTGAACCTGCCTTTGGAAAAGAAGTTAGCCTAACAAAGGTAAAGCCCAGTCTCTCTAGGAGTTTTTGCTCATTCCCAGTTAGTAGAATCCTGATTAGTGGATGGAACTAGGGTTAATATATTCTGATGGCTTGCTCTTTAAACTCAACTCTATAATTTTAAACCTTTCTCTTGGTATTCAGGCATGTTTTACTTTGCCATACTCAGAACTTTTGACTCCCTGGAAACAGCTTTACAGTTTGTATTCAGTCAAAATTTCTATTGCTTTTAACATTTGATCATGAAATTTGAAAATACCTTTATTTTGCTGGATTTGGAATTGTTGGGGAAAAAAGCTTGCTTTTCAGGCAAATATGTATATGCATTAGATAGAAATCTAGTTCAAGCGATATGTGTAAAAAGCCAGAATGTTAATTTCTCTAAAGAAAACCTGAAAAATATCGGGTGGCTGAGGTGGGAGGATCACGTGAGCCAAGGAATTCCAGGCCAGCCTGGGCAACATAACAAGATCCTGTCTCCATAAAAAAGTTTTAAAGATAAAAATTGGCCAGGCATAGTGAAGCATGCCTGTGGTCCTAGCTACTTGGAAGGCTGAGGCGGGAGGATCACCTGAGCTCTGGAGGTCGAGGTTGCAGTTAGCTATGATCATACCACTGCACTCCAGCCTGGGTGACAGACAGAGACCTTGTCTCAAAAAATAAAACCAGAAAAATGAATGGAATAGATTAGGGGACTATAGCAGACACTGTCAGTGCCCTGGCTTATCACCTCATCCACACTCACCATTCAGGTGCATCTTTGCTCCCACTTCATATTTCAAGCATCTATCATTCTGCCTGAGGCTTTCTCTGGCCACAGAGTATGCCCTGCCTAAAGGGGCAGGACAGAATTGCTAGGGAATTAACAACCCTAGGAGCAGCCAATCAATAGAGCAGAGGGTTGGTGGATGAATACCCCAGCTTCTTCCCCATTTGGGTGAAACAATTCTGAGACGTGTTCTACAAAGTCTCTAAGTTCCCTAGGGGAACTGAGTCTCAGTTGTCCACAATCGCTCATTATTACATACTCAATTAGCTTCTTTCTCTTTCTTGTCTCATTTCTCTACTCCTCTATCAACACTTTCTGAAATTACCTTTCAAATAAACCTTTTACACCCAAATCCTTGTCTCAGGGTCTGATTGTAGAGAAACTTAAACAGAAATGTAAAATTTCTTTGAGAAGACTCATTGAAGTTCTTTATTAGATGTTCATTCATTATTTTGGGTTCCCCTATGTGCAGGCTCTGCGGTAAAGGTCTAGGGATCATGAAGATAAATGAGAGAATGTTTCCATCCTGAAGGGGCACAAAGCCTGCTCAGGCAGTTAGGCAGGTAAGCCACTAATTACAGTGTGATAAGGGCTCCAATAGAAGTATGCAGAGGATGACAGCATGTTATCCAATTTTGCTTTGGGGGAAAACCTGAAACTTGTGAATATTTCTCCACAGAGGAATCAATAACCCTCTTTCCAAAAGCACAGAACATTTTGCAGGAGATTAATGATGTCTGAGCAGAGTCTTGAATTGTAGGTATAATTATTAGAGATAGATAAAGAGGCTGAGGGAAGTAGGGCATTCTAGGCAAAAGGAACCTGGGCAAAGGTAGAAAGAGAATACTGCATGTGGGAGACTATGCTGGACAGAACCTGGAGGGTAAAGATACAGCTTGAATCTAGAAAAAGAGGCAGGTGGTCCATAAAGGACCTTGCAAATCTTGCTCAGTAGTAATGGTGAGCCACTGAAGAACTCAAAACAAGAGTAACTACTTTTTTATTTTTTGCATGGCCCAGAGTTCAACATTAGCCATTACAATTCAATTGGCTGTTTAATCCACTACTATTAAAACCTTCAAAATATTAGCCACTGAATCCTGCTTCCCTATGCAGAGACATTATCTGCAATCGTGTGTGAAAAGCATTCATAATCTTTCAGAAAAATTGGGCCAATGAGCTTACAATCTAGAATAAAGATATTAGTCTTTAGTGAAAGTAATTGTTAAAATAGCTACATTTCTGTCAGGTAGACTATGAAAACAAATATTAACTTGTGATTTGTGTTATCTATCAGTATATGTTTTTAAAGAACATTTTAATGTACTTCATATTAAATGAATAGTAATGACCTACAGCAAAAACAAAATCTTCCAGCCTTTATTCTGTATTAATATTAGAGACTTTCTCCATCCTACAGGCCCATGCCAACACCTTCACTTACCCAAGTATTCAGTTCCATAATAAGAATACATCAGGGGGAATGGTTTCCTCTTCTTTATGGCATACTGCTTCCCAGAGTCCAGAATTGCCTGGCAAATTGATTTGATCTGTGCTGGAGTCAGCACCTGAATAAGGAAATACAGAAGCAGAAGTCAAAGCAGGATCTTCTTTTTTCTTAGACACTGAATTTTCTTGCTTAAGAAGTCTAGCATCATATCCACAGAATCCTGTGCTATATGTAAATAAACTTAGTCAACAATAATTTATTCTTTTTTACCACTGATTCTTCCTTTGTTGTCAAGTTTATCTACCCTGTTTAAAAAACTTGCTGTTTCAATGGAAAACACACACCTTTACTGCTATAAGTTGCTATAAAATACAAAGACTACCTTTTGGCTGTTATATCATTAATCCTTGTCACAGGAACAAGGATTTGCTCAGAAAAGAACAGATAGCAGTCCTAACTGATTATGCTTAACAAAGCTGTTACTCCTGGTATACGATGTAGGATCTGGCCCAAACAACGGACCTTCAATTTGTGTTATTTAGACTTGTGCTTATAAAGACTATAGTTATAAAGCCATGATTCTGTGATAAGCTGCAGTATGATGGACTCACTCTAGGCATTGGTACTACCTGAATGAAACCCAAGTCTAATAGTGTCAAGACAAAATAACTTCTAACATCAAAATGACTCTGAATAGAGAATGGCTAAAATGTAATGACTTATAGTCTTCCATATTTTATTCAATATGGCCACAGTTGGTTTTAGGACTACAGAGAATAACAGGTTCTCAAGCCTTCAAAGCATCATTGCATTTATTAATATTCTACTCAGGTTGGCCATGTGTTTTGCATCCTGCCCTTCCTGGGACAAGTTAGATGTTCCCATTGGCACACTCCCTTTATGACAGTGGCATTTGCTCTGGTGCACAGCACTTACTACCTGTTGTATTAGATCTCTTTCTCTTTCACTAGACTATTAATTGTTTGGGAGCAAACACTGTGGTACCTCATAATTTTGGTATCCTTGGTGCCTAACATAGAATCTGAGGGGGAGGGTAAATCACAACTGATGAGTGAGTGAGTTAGTGCCAGGCTAACTGGTATGAAAATCAGAGCCCTCCCTTCCTTCCCTCTTGATTCCTTTCCTCCCTCCCTCTCTGCTTCCCTCCCCTCCACAATTGTTTCTTAACACCCTACTACATTCCAGGCCAGATTATTCTAGATGTTGGAGATATGACAGTGAGCAAAATAGACAGGACTTGTGCTCTCATGAAGCCAATCTTCCCAAAATGTAGACCTACACAGGAAACGTACTGGTCAGATGAACAAAAACCAAAACTCACTGAAGTTTAGTCTGATTGAATGAATCTGGGATCAATGAAAAGTCTGTTGGATTTTGGCCTCTCTCCTAAAACTGACACATTTAATTTTCCTACCCAATATCCAGCATTAGACCAGCCAATTCCTTTTGAAATAAACTTCTAATGATTTAATTCATAAATTGCTCCTCTGATTTACCTGACATTAGAAGGAAAAATATTATCCAGGTTTTGGTTTCCCCAAATCTAGCATTTAATTTGGAAAAATAATTACTTCACGAGGAAGCCATTAATTAATTAAGTAATTATGCCAACTATCATTTATTGAGCCACTATTCCAGTAAGGTCCCACACTAGGTATTGTGGAGAAATTTGAGAAACCATGAGACATATTTTTTCACTCCAGTGAAGTTACCATCTAGCACTGGAGACGAGATATAGACAAGAGTCTACAATAGAGCAACTAAAGCTCATGAGCCTAGTGATGGAAAGAAACAGTAATGCAGAGTAGGTAAGATGGACTTGGCTTCAGTAAGACTACTTTCTCCTCTTTTTTTTTTCTGTTTGCTGAAATAATGATGTCATGGCTTTCAACTTAAATTTCCCTTTTATTAACCACTCTCTCTGTCTCTTAGGTTTACTCCTCCTAACATTCCTGAAGACACTATCTTCCTATGCAGCATCTCCACTGTCCTATCATATCAGCCCCAAGTCTTCTTTCCTTAGCTTAATAGTAAATTTCTCCTAAATGACTGAATATACCCATTCAAATTGCTACCATAATTTTCATTTGCTATTGAAAACATTTACTCTTTGTGCCTTTAACAGTGCCAACTGATCTTAAGTTTAGTCTTATACTACTTAAAATCTTGCATCATCATTTGTCTCAAATCAACCCCTCTTTCTCAGAAAACTGCTAAAAGTCCTGAAGGGCATGCACTTAATAGGACTCTATCCTGATTGAATCCCATAGTCTTCTGGGAATATATCTGGCTCGGCTCGATATTGATTTTGAATCCATATGACAGAGGCATTTTTTGTGGTAGGAAACAGTGACTGAATTTTCAGGGATATATTCATTTGCCTAAAATTTTTCTTATTTGACTTTCATGCCTATAACCAAAAATTGGCTTATTATTTCCTCAGCTGAACATTTATTCATATGTTGTGTGTCTGTGTACATGTATATTTGCCTGCTTATTTTTTAACCCAGAAAAAAAATCAACTTATGCTATATGTGGTGCCATTCCCCTTTCTTTCTACCCCTCATCCACAACTTGGAATAGGGAATGAGTTTATAAAATATTATTTCAAAACCTCCCATGGTCATGCATCATGTCTGGGTGGTTTCCTTTTATCTCTCAGAAACACTGTGAAAAACAAAGAGAAACTGGTGCTTGTTTGGCTGGATAGAGACAAGTTATACATGCAGTTCTTTATCTCTGGGAACAGGCAAGACCTGCCCTTCAGTTTAGTGATCAGCAAATAAAAACTAAAAACAGAGCTCATTAAAAGCCCGTGTGTGGGGAACACTGAGGAAGAGTATTTTTCACCCCCCAACAAACAGTACAGAAAGAAGAAGGGAGTTGAGATTCTGGGGTAAGGGCTTGAGCTTGTTCTCTTGTGTGTCTGCTTTGTCAAAGATCCCTCCCCTCCCTGCTCCTAGTACATAGGAGCACATGCATGAGCACACCCACTGCCTCCAAGAAGATGGCCGCTGTGCTTTTGAGACACTTTGGGATCCTGGGAATGAGGGAGCAGCATTTCCAGTGGGGGAACAAAAATGACTAGGAATGGCAGAGAGGGGCTCCCTGGCCATCAGGCCTTCACCAAAACAAGCCCATATTATTCCCTCTCCTGTATTTGCTGTCCCTAAGATCAATGCATTTGTTGATATTTTGGATGGAATAGATTCTTTTCTTTTTACATTGAATTAAAATAAATTAAGATATTTCAAATCTGAGGTGGTTTGGTTTAAACTGTTTAGCTTAACTGATTCCCTTTGCTGACCATGTGAAATGTTCCTATTGGTTTGGCCTCTAAGTATGAAGAGACAAGAGAGCAATAAAACTCATGCTATATTTCTTGGCCCTGCCTGAAAGTCATGCTATGACTGAACTACCTCCATGCAGAGGAGAAATGACTTTCTTTTAAAAAGTGAATAAAAAGGACCAAACCACAGAATGCTGGCCTCACCACAGACTCCTTCCCAAGGCAAGAGTCCTACCCACAGCTCCTCTGAAGTGGTAGTCTTTGCTAGCTATATTTCTTTTTCTAGGCATCAAATACCTCCTGCCCCTCCCCCATCAGTATTGACTGAATATGTGAATAATAGCAACTAAATCTTGGGTGTGCCAGTGTCCTAAAGCATACTATTCCAATCAAATTCCCCTTATTAGCAATTTGAAATGCATGTTCAAAAATTAAAAATGAAGTTGTCAGCAATTGCAGGTGCTGCTGAAGACAGGTCAGGAATGGGCCCAGGCATTCGCTGAGGTTAACATGGAGTAAGCAGAGGCTGTGAAGGAGAAAAACAGAATAAACCACCCAGCAGTGAGAGTGAAAGGAGACTGGAGCAGATATGCTAAGAGAAACAATGATACCAAGAGAGAAAGTTAGAGAAAAGTAGCTGGTCCTCATAGCTCCCTCTTCCTAACAGTTTAGGGCTACTCCCTTTAGGGCTACCTGCCAATTTTCCATACAATACCCACCCCCATATTCCTACTTTTCTCTTTAGTCATTTGAGAGTCTCTGTTTCTTGCAAAAAGACCCTTACTAGAATATACACAAATATAAAGTCAACCCTTTCATTTATCACTTCATTCCTCACATAAACAAATCAGCTTTGCTACCTACCATGCTAAATCCTTTCAGCCAATATAACAAAGATACCCATATCTAAGGTGCATGATAAGGTGCAGGGTAAGACTCTCTGGGCATGGGACCAGGCATCAGGATCTTTTTTAAGCTCCCAAGTGGAATTACAAAGAGTAGTCAAGGTTGAGAACTACTGCCATAAAATACTGAGTGAATGCAAAACTAGTTTTTTGTTTTTTTTTTTTTTTTTGAGACGGAGTTTCGCTCTTGTTACCCAGGCTGAAGTGCAATGGCGCGATCTCGGCTCACCGCAACCTCTGTCTCCTGGGTTCAGGCAATTCTCCTGCCTCAGCCTCCTGAGTAGCTGGGATTACAGGCACGCGCCACCATGCCAATTTTTTGTATTTTTAGTAGAGACGGGGTTTCACCATGTTGACCAGGATGGTCTCGATCTCTTGCCCTTGTGATCCACCCGCCTCGGCCTCCCAAAGTGCTGGGATTACAGGCTCAATGTAAAACAATATAATAATACTAATGATGAAGAGGAGGCCTAAATGGAAAACAAGTAAAAAAAACTCCAAGATATAAAGAAATGCCTTTGGTCTGAGTCATGGAGGACTCAAAATTATCTGTCCTCACACTTCTGTCAATAGCTCATTTGAGACCTCTGATATCTAAGAGGTATCTGCTCCTCAAAGTGTAGTCCATGGACCAGCAGCAAGAGCATCACATAGGAGCCTGATAGAAATTCAAATTCCCAGGCCCCAGCCCAGACCCAGTGAATTAGAAACTGAATTTTATTTGTTTTAATCTATTTAAAATTTTACTTTAAGTTCTGGGATACCTGTACAGAATGTGCAGGTTTGTTACATAGGCGTATGTGTGCCATAGTGGTTTGTTGTACCTACTGGCCTGTCTTCTAAGTTCCCTTCCCATGGCCCCCATCCCTCAACAGGACCTGGTGTGTGTTGTTCCCCTCCCTG